TCCACTTCGGAAATCGTATAGTAAAGTATAGTAAAGTCGTCCCAGGAGCGCAACCTCAACAATATTGGCAATATCATTTTAAAGTCGTCTACTTTAAAATGCATAATGTATGTCTGAATTGTCAATATAATGAGTCAGATAAAATTAAATTATTAGAAGAATTTTTCACTATGTAACAAAAAACAAAATTTGTTTAATTTACTGTTCGTATTTTGAGAACGATTTCCGAAGTGGAAATTGAAACGTCAATAAATGTATTTTTATCTTTAATTGTGGCTTATTCCCAGTTTAATAGTAATTAAAAAAAAAGAAATAAAAAATTTGGATCACAATTTTTTTTAAAATGATTCAGTTATTAAAAGTTAAACTAATATTTTATTTTCTTAAAAAAATATATGGTGCATTAGTAGGATTTGATCTCTAATTTTATAAAATGCAAAAATGTAATGCTAAGAATTATATGACCACACGGCATCTACATAAGAAAATATCCAAAGTTGCATTTGTTGCCCGATTAGAATCAGTAATAGCTGGTAATAGCGCTGATATGACCGCTTCCTAATCAAAACATGTAATATTATGTGCGACCGAGACCTGCGCATGTGAGGGATGAAGTAATCTAGGCAACATCTACGCCTGGAGGAGATCATCTGAACGCAAGGTTTCATAGATTAAATATATATAATATGCATCACTGCAAGGTTAGTATCTGAACGTTCGAAATCAAATACACCTAGGAACGTAGAATGTACGAGGCCTTATTCAATCTGCGACATTATAATTCTAGCAAGAGAGAACCTTTCAGTGTGTGGCCATGTGTGGCATCGCAGACACATATTGCAAGATGTGCGTGGAGAGTTCATACGGTTCATTAAGTACATGTTTAATTTAAATTTCTTGTGTTTATGCAAAATTTAAAGCAAACAGAAAAAAGATACAAGATACATATAGAGTAATAATATATAAAACATGAAACACAGAAACGGTAAATGTCATAAAATAATATGAAGATGACATATAAACGTGTGGACAACCGAGAAAAGAGTGTTAAAATCAGTATTACAAGAAATAAGTAATGTCGAAAATACCTAACTAATTTCAGAGAACCATTTCACGAAGAGAAAATTTCAAATGAGAAGAACTATAGATTTTATAGTATCGAACACATACATAATTTATACAAACCCCAGCTCCGAGTGACATGTGTGTTTCAATGGATCAGTTGGACCCACGTGTCCGAAGATCAAATCGGCCACACTCCTTAATGGAGTGGTACCTACCTGACCCCTAAGCTATAACCAACCACCCCTTCCCATTGCAGAACATAACGAATGGAGAGGATTTGGTGCTGAGCGTTACTTTGGATGCCCTGGGTAATGGGATATATTCTGTTTTACTTTGTGTGGTTAGGCCACCTAATTTTAGGGGTAGCTATACTTTATCTAATTTACATACCGATATACGTCATTATCTACGTCAGAGATCGAAGTTGACATAGTTGCCAAAGTATAAAAAATCCTGACTCCATTTTAAATCAAATAGATCACATAATTATTGCATAAGTATTACCATCTCTTTACAACGACTATTTAAATTCTTACGTGAAATTTTTTAAATAAAACACTAATTTTGTTCTAAAAATAACAGAGTTTATTAAATAGGTACAAATATAAAACAAGAGGTAGGGGAAGGGCGGGCAAGATGGCATACTTAGTTTATTTTCCATATATCTGAGACATAAATAGAGATAAATCATTCCTTTTGATGTATAATGATAGACAGGTCATTTTTCTACTATTCTAAGTAACAAAAAATCACTCATACAAAGAGATTTATTTAAAAAAAAATCAAAATCAAAATGTAACAAAAAACCATTTTGCCCGCCCAGTGCGGGCAAAATGGCATACACATAAACAATAGTGTTAAATACAAAAATAATTATAAATTTTTATTTTTACGAAGAAAAAAATTGAAATTAAACATTTTAGTTCATACAAAGTTCGCAAATAAATTGTTTTGCTTTTTTTGTGAAGTCCAGCACATTCTGAATGTGACCAGTTTTGGCAAATTTGGCATCTTAACCATCCTTCATTAGATTTGGACCTACTAAACATATCATTGCAGTAAATGCAAGCGCAGTCGTCTTGTTTATCATCATTAATATTAAAGGGTTCTTCTTTATCACTTGATATATTGTTCAGTATTGGTCTCGTCACAATAGTTCTCTTGCCTTTGCTCTCCGACTGATGTCTATCTTTGTTCACAATGCGTCTTCCATCACTTAAATCATTCAACTTTGATGGTATACAAGGCAAATATCGAACACAGTAATTAATTAAATCTTGCCCAAGTACTTTCGATCAATAGATCATCCTCAATGGGCATTTCGTCAGTTGTGGCCTATCCGACATGATCAGAATGTCATACATGTAAATTTGGACATAACAATACAATACACAAGGACAAACAAACACTTGTTGTTTGGATTTTTAAAAACAAAATTTTTAAAAATGGAGAAGCTACATGTTATATAGAAGCCGGAGACAGAATAACTTCTGTCATTCTCATGTCATGAATTCTGTCGGTATTTTGAATTTTTTGTTCTTCAACAACTTCTTCTAACTTATCAAAAAATTTATTTACCTGAGGCTTATTGAATGCCTCGGCCGCTGCAAGAGACGTATCTTCTGGAAGACGTAATGATAATTGCGGATTTCGTTGGCGAAAACCATGCAACCATCCTTTGCCAGCCATCTTGGTCACTTTATTGAACGGATGATTAATTTTCATTTTCTCTACAATGCTATAGGCTAGCTTGCATAAGTCTGCTCTTGTCACGCCAAAAAACCGGGATTCAAGATACAGAATGTGGGCAACTATTGCAGTCTCCATATCTTCGTTTAAAACTGTTGCCAGGGAGCCCAAATGTTTTTTGGCAATGGCTTCAATGGCAATTTTATTTTTATTACCTGCTTGACGTCGTAGTGTTGAGAACGGTACCTACATGAAATGTATTGCTTGCTTTAAGCCAACCCATTTCGGAATTTCGGACTGCCTTCAAAGCTCTTTGCATGTCTTCCTCACTCCAACTATTTCTGTTAGACTTCGTTTTATATGAATAAACCATCTGCAAAAAAAAACTGAATATGTACCTTAACCTGAAAAACAGACGGGCAAAATGGCATAGTATGTTATTTTGCCCGCCATAATGCTATGCCATTTTGCCCGTTTTGTATTTGCCGACTACTGATAGTTGAAAAAAATTAATAATGGAACTAAACACAATTTTTATTTGAGGTTACATGCAGCGTATAAAACATAATTACCAAAAAGTGAATTCAAAAAGCTCTATAACCTTAATTTAATAAATTATTGATTAAAACTTACATTGACGCATCGAACTCGACCAGCACTTATTCACAAATATACCAATCTCGTGGCCGGCCGTTAAATTAGGTTCACGAGACTTAATGTGGACAGTATTGCCACTGTTTATAATAAGTATCCAGAATTGCGGTGACGTAGAACCGTTAGCTTGACTACGAGAACAAAAAACCATTTTGCCCGCCTATGCCATTTTACCCGCCCTTCCCCTATTCACTTTAAAATTCAAAATAATAATGTACAAAAAGTGTTAACACCGCAACTGTCAAGTGTTACCAATTTAGGCCAAAATTTCACCTTCGTTCTATTACAGTTACAGTGTGTTCCCAATAAATGTTCTTCATAAAAACGCTTTATAATGCATTTATACAATTAAATGAAACATATTATTGTGTATCATTAAGTTAACATTAAGAGAAATCTTTAAATATTATTTATACGCGTTTATAATAAAATATGTCTAGTGGCTGTAATGCGAGTGTACTCAGCAAAGTGATTCTAAAAAGAACACACCTATCGCCTAAATATTTCATGTTGGTATCATGTGACGTCACGGGCTATGACGCCGATGACGTGCATCGGTATGTAAATTAGATGAAGTATAGATGAGTTTTTCATCGTCATATTCTTGTTTTTTGGTATTTTAATCCTCTATAATTTTCTTTCCACTTAATTTGTCAAAAGATTGTTTATAATCTAGAAACAAGATATGATTCCATGTAATATTCTTATTTCTGTAAGTTGTCTTAAAAAACGAAGGCCAATACGGAAGAGATACATCACCAGCAAAGTTTCGGGGCATATAAAACAAAGTAAACGCTCCATAAATACAAACTACTAACGATCTTTTTAAAGATAAGAATATTTTATGTATATATGCAAAAACCAAGTTTATTTTTCATACAAATCCTTTTTCAATAGATTCATAAATTTTCAGTCATACACAACGTTGATTTACATTTTCCTGATAAATGTATGATATTGCTATCAGCGGAGTTCGCTTTAAATTTTCCATAAGCACAAGAAATTTAAATTTAAAATATATTTACAAATTTTATTTAAAAAAACTTTTCAGACAACAATAATATTTATCATTTTTTAACCAGTTGAATTAACTTAAAAAACCAACACGCTACAATTTGAATTTAGACAGTCTGGCAAGTTTGTATCTGTAACATGAGAATCCGTCTGGCTTAAGGCAATAAATTATATTTAATGACCTCTTGGCGTATGAGAGGGCGAATATCAACACTTGCGTGTGTTTACAGATGGGAATTTGCTAAACAAATGTACTTTAGGTTAATTTTTTCCTGCAATATTTGTATCAACGACCCCTCATTTTAAGCATTAATTGAATTTCTTGAGAGATCCAAAAGTTACTCCTTTTTAATAGTCTTTTGGATTGAATTCAATAAGCATGCTAAAATGTTTTAAGTCTGGCGTTGTCGAATAAGCTGTTGAATGGACACTTAATTCGACACCATTTGTGTTTTCTTTACGTTATTAAACAAATAATTTGATACATTCTGTAAATACTACCTCCAGTTTGGCACTGTTTTTGTCAGTTAAATTATTAGTAAGGGAGAAAATAATCAAAATAATGTAGTTTTGTTCCCTTTTGGAGGATTAACTCCTGACAGCAATAAAATTTTTATTGGAAAAAATATAATCCATAATACAAAAATTACATTGACAATCAGGTAATAAACTTTATAAAAAATAAAACAAAAAAATTTAACAACACAACAAATCTATGTATTAGTGCGAATTTCCAATCCATTACTATAGTAAAATTCATTTAGCCTCTGAATAGTTGCCGAAAAATGTTGGGTATATACTTTCATATCTCTTATAACAATTTGCTCGTGATTGTCTTTATCCAGAGCTAAAGTGAACATTAAATGCTTTCTATTGGGCATAAAACGAGACAGTATGTTAAACAGTTGAACTCCAAGCCATCCGTGGTGAGACTTTAATGTGGCGGTATATGCTTTCTTTAGAAGTGGGCCTAAATCACTCGATGGCTTTTCTGATTGACTATCTTCCAATATCAACGTGAAGAATGTTGAAAGGAAATGTAGTCCTCTGAAAAGAAAAAAAAAAATATTACTCGTTTACCGTGAAGGTTTCTGAAATATGAAACACAAAATCTACTCTTCTGAAAAATAATCGCACCAATAAAAAAATTTATATGACTAAGGCTGGTTATCGGAATTAATAACACTAAACAAAACCATTAGCATTAAATACATTGTATTGATAAAACACAGATATTGTATTATTGACAAGGATTAATGTCGCTCAATAGTTATTAGCAACCCCGTGCCGTTGACAATCCTGAACTCTCCACTTACGCTCCCGACAGTGCCGTCTGACGGTCACTGCATATACAGGGTCCTCCAACAAACACGTGACAGTCATAAAATTGTTTTATCAAAATGGATGTTCTGTTCGGAAACGTTCCGCGCGCCTCGCTTATTTTCTATAATTTACAGTGTGGTGGATAAATTTGAGTCCACTGTTTCAGTAAAAAATCAACCAACACCCGTGCGTTGACGAAACGCAATATCTGCCGAAAACATCGCCGCTATCCACCACAACTAAGCGAATTTTGCATCGTGACTCTTTTCACCGCGTCAATTTTTGATGAATGATTACCAAGTAGAATTGTCGACTTCGATAACAAACGAGATCCCATAGCGCCGAACTGCATCCAGATCTACGAATGTTAAAATACCTTAATATTTAAATGACGGTCCAAGCCATATTAAATGAGCAAGTGAGTGCAATTAGAGACAAATCAAACGAAGAAAAAAGGATTAAACGGTTCAAAATGTAAAGGATAAATACTTAAAAAGGGCAGATACATGAATCAAGAAAAAATCGCGGATGCCAGATGAGATCCTGGAACTAATCGACGAAAGAAGAAAAGCCTAAAAATGACCTAGGCATATATAAAACAATAAATATAACAATAAGAACGAAAATCAGAGAAGCGAAAAAAGAAGCAATGGAAAGATGCGATGAAATTGAGACTTTAGTCAAAGTACGATAGTCACAATGTACATAGGAAAGAAAAAGAACTCACAGGTCGCCTAAGAGGAGACAGAAAGAAAATCTAACTGATTCTGACGGAAAAATCATCTTGGACAAACAGAGTAAAATAAGAACGTGGAAAGAATACCTAGAGAAACTGTTTGAGGACCAAAGAGATAACACTTTTGAGTTAGAAGAAGACGTTAATGATAGACCAAGAATATAACAGGAAGTTTGTTCTGCAATAACACAGCTAAAGGACGGCTAAGCAGCAGGCTCCGATAATATACAAGCAGAACTACTCAAAACTAATGGACAACGAATCAATCATAATAATAACAAAGGTACTCAACAACATATCCTCCTCCTCAATCCTTTAGCCCTTGTCAGGGCGTAGTGACATCCTAAATATTGTTAGTCTGCTGTCTCCATTGACTGCGATCTTGTACCATATGGACGGCTTCATGTAGGGATTTTCCCACCAAACTCTTCATTTGGTCTACCCATCGTATTGGAGATCTTCCTCTTGGTCTTCGGCCTTCTACCTTTCCTTCTACTACCAATAGTTCCATGGTGCCCGTTCTTCTAGCTATGTGGCCGAAGTAAGTTAGGTATGCTTGGTTTACTTTTTTTAGTAGCCTGTCTTTTATATGAAGCTCTTCCAGAATTGACAGGTTGGTTCTATGTTCTGTCCAGGACACGCGTAGAATTCTTCTATATACCCACATTTCGAAGGCTTCGATCTTACTCCTATCGATTTTTTTGAGAGTCCATGTTTCAGCTGCATATGTAGCAATGGGAAAAATAAGGGCATTGACCAACCTGAGCTTAGTATTCCTTGTTATTGTTCGGTCTTTCCATATTTTAATTAATTTAGCAGTTGCGGTTCGGGCCATTCCTAGTCTACGTTTGACTTCTGAGGAACAATCACCATTGTTGGTTATCAGAGAGCCCAAGTATACAAATCTGTCGACTACTTCGAAAATCCCTATTTGGCGTATATGCGGTAGATTATTATTTGCTCTGTCTACAATCATTATTTTTGTTTTTCCGGTGTTGATTTGACGTCCGAATTCTTCACTTATTCGGCTTAGCCGTTCGATGATGGTAATCATTTCGACTTCATTCGCTGCTATTGTTCTTCGGCTATCTCTGGAAGTAGAAAGTTCTTTAGCCGTTCATTGATTATATGTAGCAGGATTTTGCTTGCATGAGGGATAAGGGCAACGGTTCTGTAATTGCTGCATATGGTTAGTGATCCTTTTTTATGGATAGGGATCAAGGTTGATTCACACCACTCATCAGGCCATTCACCTATGATCCATATCATGTTGCACATATCCAGCATTACATCTACGCCAATTTCGCCTATTGCTTTTAGAGTCTTCGCTGTTATGCCATAGATTCCTGGAGTTTTTTTGTTTCTTAGTTGGTTAAGAGCCTTCTCTACTTCTGCTCGTAAAATGATTGGTTCAGCCTCTCTGATTGCATGTTTTTTGTGTTCTGAGACTGATGCGTCATCTTTTGAAGTGTCTTTGTATAATTCTGAGCAGTAATTTTTCCAGGTCTCTGCGATGCTCTCTATGTCGGTTTTTACTTCTCCATTAGTCTTGAATGGCTTGAAGTTGTGGCTTGAACTCTCGGGCTAAATATTTAACTTTTTTAAATAGTTCATGACTTTCAGGGCGGTTTGCATGTTGCTCCAGTTCTTGACACACGTTATTTATATGGTTGTTTTTATCTCTGATGCACATACATTTTATTTTCCTGTTTTTTCTCCGCTATTTCTTGAGTGTTGCTTCCTGTTTTTGAGATATGTTGTAGCATAGCTCTTCTTTTTTCCACTAACTCTAGTGCTTCCCTGACATCCAATGTTTGTTCTTTTGGGTTTTACGCGGTGTGCACTCTTTTTCCACTGAATATATCCAGCTTTTTATTCCATTCCACGTTTTATTTGTGTCTTCTAATACTTGTGGTTTTTCTTTGCTTATCAGTTTCATCTGGAATTCTTCTGCATTACTTACCCTTATCTGTTTTGTCTGATGTATTTTTCTAGTTGTGTGTAGTCTGAGCCTGCAGTTCATTTTTAGTAGTTTATGATCTGATCCACAATATGCTCCAGGCATAGCTTTTATATTTGTTATTGAGGTTTTCCATCTTTTCCGCACGAGTATGTAATCGATTTGTTTTTTGTGTTCTTTATTTGGACTGGTCCATGTTGAGGAGCCTTCTTGAGTGGTGTTTATAAAGGGTATTTGTTATCACTAAATTATTTTCACTGACAAACTGTAGAAGACGTTCTCCTCTGTTGTTTCTAATGCCCAAGCCAAATGACCCAACAATACCTCTTAAATGTGGTTCATTATCCGTTTTTCCCACTTTGGCGTTAAAGTCTCCAATGATATATACTGGCTCTTTTTGTGGTATCTTCTTCAATATGTTTTCTATGTTGTTATATATTTCATCAATGTCTTCATCTGGGGCATCTGTTGTGGGCATATATATTTGAATGACATGGAAATTTTCTGGTTTTGCTTCTATTGTAATTTTTATGAGTCTGTCGTTTATTGTTTCATATTGTCTGACATATTTAGATATTATATTGTTTATAAGTATGGCTACTCCATTATGCCCTGTATTTTGAGATCCTGATATGTAGATAGTGTGGTTTTGTGTTTTAAAATGAATGTCCTTGATCTTTCCAGTGTGTCTCTGCTAGACCACATATATTTATATTTTGTCTTATTATCTCTTTCTCTACTAGGTAAAGTTTTCCAGTTTGGAGAAGACCTCTGACGTTCCATGTCCCTATATTCATCGATTTTCTGCCTTGAAACTTCTGTGTTTGGTATATACAACATATACAACTCTGTTTTATTTTTATTTATACCGAACATATACAAATACCAACAGAATGGCTCAAGTCTAAGTTTGTTGCATTTCCAAAAAAGTCAGGAGCCAAAAAATACGAAGAATACATTAAGATAAGCCTCATGAGTCATCTCCTAAATTGTTTCCTAAAGATAATCCATAAGAGAATTTACAAGATGTGTGAAAGTCAAATTTCCCCCAACTAGTTCAGGTTCACAAATGCTGTTGGTACGAGAGAGGCTTGTTCTCAATACACGTCTTATTCCAAAGAAGCAGAGACGTCAAATACGACTTATACCCTTGTCTGGTTGATTACGAGAAAACTTTTGATCGAGTACGGAACGCCAAGATAATGCAAATACTAAAATAAGCAGGAATTAACAAATAAGATCTAAAAATAGTCGGTCAGATAGCCAAGCGGGCTGGGCGGCCGGTTTCTCATTTGCTTCACTGCGAGTGATTCAGCGGATGTGAGTTCGATCCCCAGCTCGGTGTACAGAAAACAAAAAGGCTAACGCAGCAGTTTAAAATTCTAAATGAATCTGCGGCTTAGACTAGAATATGCTGGTGTCTGATCGGCCTATGGTGGAGCAGTACGGCAAGAGATAAGGGCTTGCGGATCGGTGATACTCCTCCTTAGATGTCTACCGGAAGGGCATGTGCCACCTAAATACGGGTATATATATATATATATATATATATATATATATAGATATATATATATATATATTATATATATATATATATATATATATATATATATATATAGATATATATATATATATATATATATATATATATATATATATATATATATATACCCTCAAATCTCAGAATTGAAGTTGAACACAACGAATATGCGAAAATCATGCTTGGAGTAAGGCAAGGCTGTATCTTGTCTCCTATAATCTTCAATCTTTATTATGAAACAATATTTATTGAAGCTTTGCACGAAACTGAATAAGGCATTCTTCTAAACGGGTACCGGCTGAACAACATCAGATATGCAGATGAAACTAAATCCCTTGGGATTCAATTTTAAACGCCTCGGCGTATATATTTTCTGCCTTTAATTTCAGCATTTGTTTTCATTTTTCTTCCTCCCTCCCTTGTTACATTGGGAACTAGTATCGTTCTCAATATTTTTCTTTCAAATTTCAGTAGGATATCTTCCTATT